AGTCCCTACCTAAACCCCGAAGGTATGTAAAAGAATAAGCCTAAACCCATAATCACAGCCATAAAGGCCATTATTTGACCTACTCTTGGGGTCCAGGTAACACCGACTCCCACAACCTGAAACTCACGAGTATCCTTCGCTAAGGTTTAGGGTTTAGGATTTACAGGGTTTAGGATTTAGGATCTTCATCCCCAAAGACTCTCGTCATCCCTGAACCATCAACCGTTTTGACCCTAAATATCAAACCCGTATTTCGTGTTATATCCTTACATCCCCCATTTTATGGGAACCTCCACCCTAAACCTAAATCCCTAAACCCTAAACCCTAAAACCCCTAAACCCCCAAACCCTAAACCCTAAACCCCGAACCCCCAAAACCCTAAATCCCTAAAGCCCTAAATCCCTAAATCCCTAAACCCCTAAATCCCTAAACCCCTAAACCCCTAAAAACCCTGAACCTACGCCAGCTCCCGCCTTCTCCAGCTGCTCCGGATCAAACCTGCTGTCCACCTCAATAGTTACGTCGTAGGGTTTAGGGGTTTAGGGGTTTAGGGGTTTGGGGTTTAGGGGTTTAGGGGTTTAGGATTTAGGGTTTACGGATTCGAGTTTAAGGTTTAGGGATCAAGGTTTAGGATTCATTAGGCTTTATAAGGGATTTGGCTCTAGGGATTAGGGTCTAGGATTAGGGTTTAGGGTTCAGGATTAGGCTTGGTTTAGGGTAGGGAGTAGGGTTTGGGATAATTATGGTTTAGTCTTTTACCAGATACTATATCCAAAGGGAGGATACTCGGGCTATGGCATCGTTAGCCCTCGATCTTAAACCCTTAACTAAAATGAGCCAAATACACCTTCCCCCCCTGGTCGTGAATTGTAGTTTAAGCTTGGCTGAGTCTACCAATATCACAGTCTGAAGGAAAGCAGTTCGGGGTTCTAGGGTTCAGGTTCTAGGGAAGAAAGCAGTTTTGCTACGATCTTCTATCCGCAATGCTCCAAGTGCGCACATATCGTAAGCCTCTTTGCACCGAAAACCTTTCAGAGTATAGCAGTTAAGACCAGGAGCCGCTGTTAATATTAAACACCCTGCACCCCCCTAATGTTAAATACTCCCCATATAGTATAGTATACCACGTCATCGGAGTATTTTGTTGATATTAGGGGGGTGGGGGGCCTAAACCCTAAACCCTAAGTCCTTACTTGAGTACCTGGACCTGTAGGGACTGTAAAATGCAACGTGGGCGTGGACACGTGAGGCCGTTCCGGCTTGGCAAATTTCAGAGTCTGGTCGGGGGTGTTAGGCCGCAGTAGGGTTTAGGGTGTAGGATTTGGGGTTTAGGGTTTAAGGATTAGGGTGTAAGGATTAGGGATTAAGGTTTAGGGTTTAGGATTTTGGGTTTAGGGTTAGGAAATTAAGGCTTAACCCAGAAAACCACCATAGGCTCTCGTTGACAAAGATGTCCATCAGGGTCTTGCGCTCAGTGCTGTAGCAGTTGAGGATGCAAGAAGCGCCTAGCTCCTGGCAAGGGGTCCGGACAGTGGGCTTGGGGGATCTAGGGGTTTCAGAAAATTTAGGGTACCTTCTGGGGGTCCCTACAATGAGGAGTATAGTATAATAATGGGGCCTATATTGGCGTCTCCTATTCTGGGAAACTACCATTTCAGCTGCAGCGTTGCTTCTGTACCACACACACACACACCGATTCTTTTCGCACCTCTGGCTCTGCGCTCGCATGCCTTCTTTACACAGGCGATGCCTTTGCAACCCCCACGATAAAGCAAAAGAAGAAGTTGGAATAATTACAAGAATCATATTGAGGTCTATTTGAGGTACTGTCTAACCTCCTAGTATCCCCCTTAATAACCCCTATAGTAGTTCCCTATATAATCCCCTATATGAAGCCCCTTTAAGGAGTTCAGACTATAGCTCATTTGGGGTACCTTCTACTATAATCGTGCAAGGAATCTCTGTCTAAACTTGGCAATGATATGGTTAGGCTCCTGCATCATCTCTCTTCGTGGAAGTTGCAGTTGTGCATAAAGGCTTGGCAGAGCACGTTTAACGAACTGTTCTGGCTGAGTTTTCAGCAGCCATGACGGTGATCATCGAAAGATTTTGGCAACCCCCAACCCCAAAAATAAAATCCCGGTTTAGGGTTTAAGGTGGTATCACCAACCATCAACTTACTATGATACGGTCTAAGTGCTAAGGTTGGGGCTGCCAAGGCCTCTCACTATCTTAAATCCTGTACGGCCAGCTAGCCTATAGTCCCCCTTAAGTAGATAGAATATGGGGTATATGGGATTCTTATTATACTATACCCAAGGCCATATCCTATCTACTTAAGGGGGACTATAAATCAAGACACAGGGACACCGCTTGTAGGTTGAAACCCTGTGCCCGGAACACTGACAATCGACTCCCAGTTTTATAAGGTTTGGGGATGAAAGAATACTGTCCCGCCCACCCTCACCCTCCGGTAGTAAACACAAGATAAACATTGGACTGAGATTAATGGGCTGCTAAAGCCTAAACCCTGAACCCTAAACCCTAAACCCTGAACCCTGAACCCTAAAACCTAAACCCAGGAACCAGGGCAGTTGAGTGGAATGCTCGCAGTTGCCCTCACACGCTCACCGAAACTGTTGGTGCTGGCAAATCTTTGTCTTGCATCATGCTTTCCGACGTGGATGGCTTAGGCTTTACAAGCCTCAGCAGGGGCTTAAGGTTATAGGGCATATATGGGGTTTAGGGTTTAGGGGTTTAGGCTTCATGATTTAGGGTTTATAGGGTGTGGGGTTCTGGACTTAGGGTTTGGGTTCCCGTACCACCTCCCTCGATGGGGGAACGCCATGGGGATAGTATAGTTGGTGAGGTTGGAAATAATCGAAGTATAGTTGGTGAGGTTGGAAATAATCGAAGCGCTCACTTAGTCCCAACATCCGGCTGTAGAACCCTAAGCCCCAAACCGTGAACCCCAAACCCCTAAAGAAACTCATCCCCCGGAAGCTCACAGCCTGAACGCTTGCCAAGCAACGAGGACCTTCCATTTGTAGACCCTAAAAATAGAAATCCTTCCGTCGTTTACATACTTTTCGTAACTGAAGGGCCTAGGGCAGAGCCTACGCCTGACCGGTACATCCCCAGATTTCCTGAAATTGCAACCCTGCATCTCTTCCTCCCCTGCTTGGAGGTCCATGGGACTTAGTAACTACGTATGACTGGGCTTACCTGAACCCCAAAAGTATGTAGAATATTAAACTTTTGGACTACATTTAATGGTTTTGGGCTATTATTTTACCTACTTTTGGGGGTTTAGGTATAACCTTACTTATGATTCCCTAAATGGGCTTATAGGGGTTACCCCAAGTACAAGCGGGGTTATAAGCCCAGTATGAATTAGTTACTAAGTCCCATGGGCCTGGAAGTAAATCCCCCAAAGACCCCTAACTCCTACACCCGCGCACAAGGGTTACGTATAGTACCCCTGATTGTCCTAAAGCCCTAACCTAGAGAGTCCAAGTACCCAACTAGTGGAGCTTCACATCCCCAATACTATAACCTGAATGGTTTTTGGCATCTAAATCCCTAATATTTGGATACCTGGACCTCTAGAGCACCCCAAACCCTAAACCCTAAACCCTAAACCCCAAGCCCAGCAACAAGGATGGAAGCGGCGCGGAAGAGGAAGATGCTTGGCCTGCTTGGCCCATGAGCGGCTGCAACTCGACGGAAGGATCCTCAGGGAACCCCCCTTTGAGGGATAGGATTTTATAGGATTTGCTTGTAACCCCAATTACCTACAGTTGTATGGGTTATACCTACTAATTAAGGGGTACTTACTATTCAGCTGTAGGTAATTGGGGTTGCAGATGGAGCTGCGGGTTTAGGGGTTAGGGCTTAGAGTTCCGGGCTTAAGGTTGAGGGACTAAGGTTCAGGGTTTAAGGTTAAGGGTTTGAGGTAGCAAGCCCAAGAAAACAAAAGGCCTGAGAAAACCTTATCTGTCTTCAAACCTGCTTGACAAGGTAACAACAAGCAACCATGTTTGTTTTTAAAAGTCTCGGGTTTAGGGTTTAGGGTGCTTCGAGAAATCCAGCCTTTGTATCGCTCCGGCGCAGCAAGTACATAGCCTTAGCTAAGATATGTCCATGGTTTTATCGAGTTTCGAAGATAGGCTCTTTTGTTCTCCCTTTGCCTCATGCACAGGGCAGGGTTTTGAATTTGGATACCGCGTAAACCCCAAAAGTATGTAAAATAATCGCCCTAAACCCTCATTAGTAGCCATAAATGCCATTTTTTTACATACTTTTGGGGTCCAGGCATACCCCAAAAAGTTAACTGCTTTGGCCTATGTGGTGTGTTATGGCACCCAAACAGTTTTCTAAATGCTTTTACAACGCCCAAAACGACTTACCAAGGGCATCCAAGCAGGTACTATGCATAAACTTTAGGACGAAAGGTAGCTGTTATTCATAGACTTGGATGCCAGGGCTAGTATGGTTTGACAATATCCAAAAATTCAAGACGACCCGCTGGGCTTCGTCTTCTTGAGGGTATAATCCCATTGTATAAACAAATGCTGAACTGCAATCTGGGTAAGTGGCCAATGCCAGCCAGACGCCACCGGAGAGGATTGTCAAACAAATTTGAAGCACTGCGAAATCTCCTCAGCTAACTGCAGGACCCCTCCTGCACAAATAAAAGTTCGTAGCCCAACGATAATCAGGACCCTGCCTGAAATGTAAAGCCTGTAGCCTGCCCCATACGCTAAACGTGCCCTACACCCTCAACTATAATCCCCAAACGTACCCTAAACCTTAAACGGCATCCCTGTAAGGCCGTAAGGACTCATATTTCGAGGATTTTGGTCTCGAAGGCTATACTATAACAGACTTTTGGGCTATTTTGAGACCCTAAATCCCAAAAAGGGTGGCTATTTTGAGCCTTAGGGTAGTGAATACCCAAGAGTTTAAAGACCTCAGACAAAGGCTAAAGTCTAGTCTCCGTGCATCAGCTGCACATCGGTTTTTACCATTGTGTGGCCACACCCATTTCCTTACTGGTGGTTGGTAAGGAGTATGTAAGGGAATCTAGTATAGGGTATAGGGCGTAGGGTTTAGGGTACGGAATAAGGGAATATACCACACAGGGATGAGATAGGGATGATATTCCTTCATGCCCTACTAACCACCAGTAAGCTTCCATGTACCATAGTTCCAGCAATGGCAGACTTCACCATCTGCGACCAAGCTGGCAATTTGTCTCCGCCAGCATCAACGGCCTTACTGATGTCATAGATGAACCTCCACTTGCCATGATCCCACTGCATTCGGTTCCAAAACTCCCCTGACTCATCCGTCCGGTTCATCGCCCAGAGCCCCGCCACATCTGCCAAACTGACGCCGGCCAGAACAATCCTGGGTTGCTGTCAAACAATTTAAGTTACCAAACATGGGTATATAAAGTAATATACCCTCAGGCTCAGAATAGCCCAAAAGCCTCATAGTATGGTCTTTGGGCCCAAAACCCTCATATAATGGATCCTCAGAGCCTTAGGGATATGGATCCCCCAATATAGTAACTTAATTACAATAAGTTCCCCTAAGGGTCCAAGGACCCCAATAATAGGGCTTTAGGGCCCAAATACCACCCATATTAAAGTATTTGGGCCCTAAGACCCTATGATTGGGGTCCTTGGGCCCTTAGGGGTCCCCCTTAAGTAGAACCTAAACCCTAACCCTGAACCCTAATTCCTAAGCCCTAAGCCCCAATTCCTTAACAGGAACCCAGGATCTGCATCGTTGCAGATCGGAAGTCTTTGTCGAACTCAACTCTCAGCTTTCCGGGGCTAAAGAAAGCAAGGTTCAGCGTAACGGCTGCCTAGGTTTACCCTAAGCATCGAATCAGCTAAAAACCTTATATAGTAGGGTCTTTGGGCCCAAATTCCTTCAAATATGAATCCTTAGATGCTTAGGGTTAAGGAACTTACCATAAATCACTATACTACGGAAACCTCTATTTACCTTTGAGCTATAGCCTGAACTCCTACTAGCCCCCTTAATAATCCCTATAACTTTCCTTACATAATCCACTATATAACCCCCCCCTTTACAGTAACATTTTCCAGGAACCGGGAACAGGAACCGCTTCTAAAACCCTAAGGGTCCAAGGACCCAAATAAGAAGGGTTTTAGGGCCCAAATACAATTGATATTATGGTATTTAGGCCCTAAAACCCTATTATTTGAGTCCTTGGACCCTTAGGGAAAACCGGACTGGGAACCGGAACCACTTTTGAAAACCCGACCTGGAAACAAATTGCAGTCAGTCGGGCATCACTATGACAACCAAAGACCAGCCATATTAAATATGTGTTTCTTCCAGATCCTCGCTTGCACCCCCAGCTATATCTAGGCCACCGGACGGAAATCTTCCAGTTTCGGGGTGTTTCAAATCCTTGAACGGGAGTGGTGATTTTGGGCGTTCTGGCCGCGACAACTCCGAAAACACGACTCAGAAAACATCCCATCCCAGCACCAGCCTCCCAAGCCTTCCATCAACGCACGGAAATCTTCCGGCTTATGGGTTCAAAGGCCTCGCACCCGAATTCCCAGGGCCTTCCAGCAAACCTCTCAGAGCCCCCCCAGCAACTTTTAGAAGGCTTGCTGGTTTGGGGTGCCTGCCACCACTGCACAAGGGCCTTCAAGGCCTTGAAGCACTTCCCAGAAAAATCCGGCTGCCGGAGACAGCAGTTCGAGTCCAAAGTTGTATTACCAGGGAATGAAAATCCATCCGTGTGTCGGAGACGGCCATTCCAGTACCAAAGTTGTGTTACCACAGAACGAAAACGAAAGTCTATCCGGCTGCCGGAGACGGCCATTCCAGTACTAAAGTTGTACTACCAGAGAACGAAAACCCATCTGCTTGCCGGAGACGGCCTTTTCGGTACCAAAGCTAGTTGTAATAGCAGAGAACCCAAATCCGTCTGGTTGCCGGATACGGCCGGTCCAGTACAAAAGTTGTACTACCAGAGAACGAAAATCCATCTTGTTGCCGTAGACGACCGCTCCAGTACTAAACTTGTACTAACAAAGAGAGAAAAACGGCCCACCACCAAAGCTTGGAAAACGATACGCTACTCACCAAAATCACATGTGCAAGCCCACACAAGGAATTTAGACCGTGCTTCAAATTACTATACGGCTGTTATTTCTTGAGCTTGCATTCTGCTCTCCTTTTATGTATTAGCCCTATGCAGTGGTAACCTGAATCATGGAACCGCTGGAACCGTGAACCGAACCAGTTCCGCCATACTCATGAAACCGAACCGCCAGAACCGAACCGGGCGAATTAAAAACGTAACCGAACCGAACCGGACCGTTTCATTCATGCGTTAAGGAGTTTAGACTCTAGCTCATATACCAATATTCGAGGGCAACGGACACCAACTTACTAAACAGAAACCCCAGCGGCATACTCCGTCCAACCTGCAAAGTCCGAATTGTAGGTCCAGCTGTATGCATCGCCAAATGGCAGAAAAATCGTGCGACTTGTCTTGTCATAGGATCCTCGGATCTCAAGTAGCTTAACACTGTGATCGTGCCCTATTTTCTACAGAAAGGAACCAAGGACCCCCAAAGCGGGAAAAGGTGCTTTACTGGGAAACCATAAACCCTAAATCTTAGAGAGTAGCTTCCATTTACTTCTCTCGGTTCGTTTCTATTTGTTTTGCCAATACCCTAGGTCACATCCCAGAAACAACACAACTCAAAACCCGAACCGCTAAACACTAAACCATATGGTAGTTTCCCAAAATAGGGGGACCCCAATATAGACTCCTAAATACTATAGTCCTTATTATGGGGACCCCCAAAAGGGTACCCCTAATTTTGGGAAACCTCCTAGCCCTAAACCCTAAACCCTAAATAGTAGCTTCCATTTTCTTTTCCATTATCCCTATATAACCCCTATATACCCCCTATATACCCATTTAAAGTACCCCTAATTTTGGGAAACCCCCATATATACCCGGGCTCCTGCTTCCATGGTCATCTGAAGCTCCGGGCATGTGTTGCCTCTCATCCAAAGGATGCCACGAACCTGTGAAGGCAATTTGCCATTCCTTACCCAGAGGGTCCATGTACCCAATAATTGGGTACTTGGGATTTGGGTAATAGTAATTGAAGTACAGGTTTTGGGCAAGTATTGGATTATTAGGTACTTGGACCCTTAGGGTTAGGTCTCAACTTTTCAAACTGGGTTAATGGGTTCAGGATCAGGGTTTAGGAATTTAGGTGTTAGAGTTTGACAGGGTTAAGGGATTAGAGTTTAGTGATTCAGGGCCCAGGGGTTAAAGAGGTTGACCTTTTCTGTCACATAAGGCTTTTCAGATTGCCCGAAAACCTTACAGCTTATCCGCTGAGCATTGCAAGATCCTCCATTGGGGCAGCTCAACGCCCCACTGGTGCAGGTAAGACTCTGATGTCTTTGCCACATCTTGATCGAAGCATCACCGGCAGTGAGAGCCTGCACCCGAGAGAGCTGCACCAGATAGTTCAAGACCTTACTGGCGGCTGGTAGAATTTAGGGTTCCTGCGGTTTAGGGTTTAGGCTTCTGGGTTCTGGTGGTTGGCAGGGTAGGCTGCACCTGAGACCCCAAACACCTTCCGTGTTAAGGTAGAGCATAGGGTGTACGGCACGGTTTGGTTAGTAGGAACGGAAGACTGGGTCCATCTGATGATTTGCTGCTATATAACATCCCTTATAATGATCTGTACGGAACCTTTTCCTTCATTCCGTGCTAACCATGCGCAAGAGACCTGACCAACCACCAGCAGGATGACGACAGTGGCACAAGTTCCCATGGCGGATAGCAAGCTATGATGCTCTGTCTCCCGCGCACCGCCAAACTCAACCAGCACACATGCCTTTCCAACAAACCAAGTTGGCCTGGCGTCTAGAACCATCGTTATACGTACTTGCAATACGGCTGTATAGTCCCCCTTAAGTAGGTAGATTATGGGGCATATGGGGATCTGATTATAATGTACCCAAATGCTGATTCTATCTACTTAAGGGGTATTATATGTGCTCACTACAGACCTGCGAGATGAAACGCATCAGGATTCATCACGCTGCTCATGCACTTTCCTGGCTTCTCTTGCAGTGGCTGTCAGACTGTTGCGCAGTCCCTATTCCCTAAACCCCACAACCGAAACCCCAAAACCCTGAACCTTCAACCCTAAACAAATCAGGAGCTACTCCCCGCAGAGCGAAACCCAGACCCCAGGGGCCCAAGTAATTACGCGATAAAAGGGCACTAGGAGTTGGAAATAAGTAATCCAAGTACAGGTTGAGCGAAAGTACATGATTCTTGGGCACTTCGACCCTTTAGGGGTCTCGAAAGTACCAAGCCCTAACCCTAAACCCCGCACCTCACACGCTAAACCCTAAACCCCGAACCCCAGACCCTAAACCCTTATAAACCCTAAGCCCTGAACCCTAAACCCTAAACCCTAAATCATGTTGAGGTGCCCTTTTTCCTTTTTAGGGGTCCTGTCCTGCATACTGACACGGTACATCTCAAATAAAGAGTTACGAAATCCAGGGTCCAGGAAGTCATGTAAGGAGTCTAGGACCCTAATGTCTGTACTTATGTATTGTTTAGGGTTTAGAGCTTGTAGTCCCCCTTAAGAAGATAGAATATTGGGGCATATGGGGATCTTATTGTAATATGCCCAATGCCATATTCGATCTACTTAAGGGGGATTATAACCCCAAACCCTAAGCCCTAAACCCTATATTCTATCTACTTAAGGGGAACTATATAGTGTTGAGGGTGTTGGTATACTTCTCGGCACCCACATTACCGCTCTCCAAAGCTAAATCACGAAACCCATCGAGGCTTTAGTTGGTTCAGGGTTGAGGGTTTAGGGTTTAGGGTTTACAGTTTGAGGGTTTAGGGTTGAGGGTTCAGGATTTTAGGGCTTTAGCGCTTAGGGTTTAGGGCTTTAGCGTTTAGGGTTGAGGGTTTAGGGTTTTTGCACTAGCCTTTACGGGACCGGGACCGTTTTCGGGTCTCCATGTTTAATTTGTTGAGAGATTGGGTGAACCCAACACCAAAAAAGGGTCCCCTTCTGAAATCCCTATTATAAGGATATTCTATACCAAGATCCATATCTGGGGCCCACCATCTATGGTGACTAATTTTCCCCTGAACCCTAAGCCCTAGAACCCTAAACCCTAAACCCTACAACCCTAAACCCCCCAACCCAAATCATTGCATCCGGTGCTCCTGCACATGGTTGTAGCTGTGGTGCGCGGTCACGGTCGGCTGACTCTGAGGGTGCATTTCAACCCTGCTCGGTTCGTGGCTGAGGGTTTAGGGTTTAGGGTTGAGGGGTTAGGGTTTTGGATTTAGGGTTTAGGATTTAGGGATTAGGGTTTCGGGCTTAGACTTTCTTGATATTCGGTCGTAACTGTAGCTGAGCTTCTAACCCTACTCATAACCCCCTTACTGGCCTTACACTGGATACCTACAATTGTAGAGGCTCACCAGCTACAACGTCAATCAGTTGTAAAGACCTTCTCGTCTTGATTTGCCACGAAGGATTCATACTGTAAGGGCCAAGAACTGAAGGTCCAAGGCAGCAAGTGATATACGGGCTAATCTAGGTACTGCGACCATCCTCTCATCACCTACGAGGCATCAGGTAGTCGAAATGGAGCACGCCATCGCCGTCTTGGCAGTGTACCCAAACACCTATAGAGGATGGCAGCCCAAACCATCCTACTAATACTAAATCCTGGTATAGAAACCTACTATAAGCTTCTAGTCCCCTTATGTAGATACAATAAGGCTTTGACCATAACCAAAATAGGATCCCCGTATATCCCATATTCTATCTACTTAAGGGGGACTATCGGATCCTCTGGCTGAGTCCAGCCCATCATGTATGATGCATCGACTAGGAGCCTCCGGAAGACTGCAGCCTGGTGTGCCCCACCCGCCCACTCGCATGGGGTTTGGGGTTTAGGGCAGGGTTTAGCCCACCCCAACAAGGCCAAAATGGGGTTTAGGGTTTATAAGCTTTAAGGTTTGATGCAAGGCTTGATTCAATAGATCTTGTTCGGGGCTGCGGCGGTTTAGGCTAGGGATGTTAGTAAAGGACCCTGTGAGGGAAATGTCATGCGGGCAGCTGCCTGCCGATTTGTATGTGGCATTGCCCATGTCTCCTGTTAGACTTCGCATGGTGGATACTAATACGTCCTACCCTAAACCCCTACACCCCTAAACCTCTACGCGCTAAACCCTAAAAGTTCCTTGTACAGTGGGAATCCTGGCACTATAGTATATTAGGCTCATGCAGGATTTCCTGTATCAACAATATTGACCTGAAGGTCCGTCCGAAGACTCAAAACTAAGAACTAAGAAGTTCAGAGTTTCGGATTTGGATTCAGGGTTTCTACAGGGACCAATGAAGGACCTGGATATTGTGGTTCCAGGTGCCAAGTACTACAACCTCAATAATTTTGCCGACGTCAAGATGTCCCACCCAATTTATCCTAAACCCTAAACCCGTAACAGGCGGCAGAGCGTTTATCATCTGTCAGGTGACCGCTATCCTCCCTAAACCCTGAACCCTAAACCCTAATCCTTGAACTTCAGGGAGGGTGAAAAAAAGCTGCAAGTGTTACCATCTCACGGCCTACGCATGCGGTGTCAAGGCTGAGGGTTTAGGAATTTGGGTTGAGGTTTAGGGTTTAGAGTTCAGGGTTTAGGCTTCAGAGTTGAGGGGGTTTAGAGTTTAGGGCTTACGAGTTAGGGTGCAGGGTTTAAGGGTTTAGGGTTGCCAGAAGGTCCAAAGTACCAATACAGGGAATATTGACCCATATCATAAGGAAATTCCTACTACAATAGCCATACGGGGCATACTTGGTATTCTGTAATTAGTTACTTTGGGCCCTTTGGGTCTAACCGTGAACTCAAGCCATAGGCCCTGAAACGAAAACGCAAAAACCACAGATCCCTACAACCTGAACCTCTAAGCCCATATGAGCTATAGTCTAAACTCCCAGTATCCCTCAATGACATAAGAACCCGAAGTCTATAAATGCTACCTACAACTTGCTATTTGGAGCCTTAGGGCACATGAGTGTGACAACAGACCCTAAGGGTCCGAGGACCCAA